GCACTGTCTTTGTACAGAGGGTGGTCTATTTTGAGAGGGCAAAACATTCCACCCCAAATGATTCTTGTCGGGTTTTAAGTTTTTCGGATGCTGCAGACCTCTGAGGACAGAAATAGCTCTAAATAGCTGTCTCTTCATAAGAAGAACTTCACATGCCTCTGAATTAGGAAGACGGAGACAGGTGCCTTTTACCTGCTGCCTCCACCCTGCTCAGCGAGGGTCTGCTGTGGTCCAGAGAGACATGACCAAAGGCCTGTTACCTGGACATCTATCTGCATGGTGATAGCAATGCCTACTGTACACATTCTCCGTATCCATCCATAGTCCTCCATCTCCTTGCTCTAGAGATTTAATGCAACCCTTTGCTCAAATCTACATAAAGTCAAATGACTGTTATGGCTCTCTTTAGGTCTCACAGTGTCAGGTCTTAGTCTTGTAATAAAGTATACATACTTTTTTTGTTTTTGAGACAGAGTTTCTCTGTGTAACCTTGACTGTCCTAGACTCACTTTGTAGACCAGGCTGGCCTCCAACTCACAGAGATCCACCTGCCTTTGCCTCCCAGAGTGCTGTGATTACAAGTGTGAGCCACTGTGTCCACTACTTTAAAAAAAAATCTGCTATCTATTGTCAGTTTACTTCATGGACCAAAGTTATTTAACATTCAGGGGGAAAATAGTAAATTTAAAACATAAAATACCTTGAAGTGTATTTCTTTTCATTCTGCAGTTTTCTATAGACTAATGGAGTAAAATATGAAGTAAGATGACACAGTTACAACCGCCTACATCATATCCTGAGTGAGTTAACCTCGACCCAGAAAGACGCACTGGTATGTACGCACTCCTAAGTGGACTTTAGCCATATAGTACAGGAGAGACATACTACAATTCACAGATCCAAAGAAGGTAAGCAACAAGGAGGACCTAAGGGAGGATGCTTAAATCTCACCCAGAAGAGGAAATAGAATAGACACCAGAAGTGGTTGAAGAGAGGAAACCAGATAGGAGAGGGAGTGAGGAGAGAAATGAGGGTGGAGACTAGTCTTGGGGTTAGCTGGAATGAAAGGACAGAGAGCCTCTGGAGAGAAGAGAAACTGTGGGCAGGGGCATCTCTATGACAAGCTGGAGACCTAAGGCAGGGTAGGCTTCTGGGAGGATATGGTATGACTCTAGCTGAGCCTCCTAGTAACAGGGGGCATAGCCAGTGAAGAGGACACCTTCTAACTAGACACAACTCCTAGTGGAGGGAGGGAAACACCAATTCACCCACAAAAACTTTGACCCAAAATTTATCTTGCCTACAAGATGCGCAGCGATAAAGAAGGAGCTGAGATTGTGCAACCAATGCCTGTCCCAACCTGAGAGCCAACCCCCGGCATTATTAATGGTGCTCTGCTATGCCTGCAGACAGGAGCCTAGCCCAGCTGTCCTTTGAGAGGCTCCACCCAGCAGTGGATTGAAACACTGGGTGGAGTGTGGGGAGCCATGTGGAACAGTGGGTATAAGGATAGAAAGATTTTGGCCAGCTGAAAACCTCCATGGGTGGACTCTGAGGAGAGGAGACACGTAGAAACCTATGGACATGAGAGAACACTCTTTGGGGATTGCTCCACTTTGCAATGGTTTATATCGCCTTGCTGGTCATCATTCTTTGACACTTCACAGAGAGAGAAACGTTCCAGAGACCTTCTCCTGGCACACTGCCTGAGTCCGCTACTCGGGCTGATTCAGAGTTTTTGCTGTTTCTGCTGGATCCTGCTGCCGCTGCTGATTTGTGTTGCTGTTTGGTTTTTGCTGTTGGACTGGACTGCTGGTATCCTGACATAGCAGAGTGGAATCCCCCAAGGAGCTACGTCTAAAAAGGTCTGCAACCTCCTTTTCCTAGCAACCTTCTTTCTCCCCTACCTCTGGTAGTGGTCAGTGGGTTAGAAGGGAGGTAGAAGTGTTAAGAACCCTAAGTAAAGCAGATTTTTTTAAAAAATATAAGCCTACATATAAGGGAAACAGTTAAAACATAGGCAAGGACTTTCAGAGAACTAATCCAATACAAGAAATATTCCCCCAAACTGACAAATATGATTGCATGAAATTGAAGAGCTTTTATACACCAAAGGAAACCATCAGCAAAGTGAAGAGACAGCCTACTGAATGAGAAAAATGTTTTCTAACAGTATGTAAGACAGGAAGTTAGTATTTAAAATAGAAAAGAACTACAAGCACTTCATGCTCAGATCCAAGAAATACGTTCACCAGCCAAGTCCTGAAGTTACTGATGTCGCAGGCCACATCAACAGCGCCAACCCAAACAACTGGGATCTTATTCTGGAAGGGTCTGTCCTCCCACGAGAAGATTGACAATCAGCTGATCCTTGTGGCTTGCTGGCCTGGACCAGGAAGGCAAAGGAACTGGAAGTGTGCTGTGGGCAGACACTGGGGCAAGCAGCAGGATCTGAACCAGGCAGAAGTGGCCCCAGCACCACGGTACTCACTCAGCCCTTACACTTGCGAATGAACAGCCCGCCAACATGTTTACTCTTTTTGGCCATTTATTAGAACTTTAGCAAGATGCAAGCATATAATAGCTACAGTGTAAATAAGGTGGCTTAACGGATATGTGGAAATGTGCCATACATTTCAGCTCCCCAAATCTCAGGAACCAAGTTATTAACCGCCGCCTAAGGAGACAGCTCAGTTGGAGAAGTTGCCTTGTAACTACAGCAACCCAGTTTTGATCTCTAGAACCCACATACGAAAGCAAGGCACACCCTTGTAAGCTTGATATTGAAGAAGCAGAAGCAAGCAGGTCTCTGCTGCTCACTTGCTTACATAGCTTAACCTAATTGGTGATCTGCAGGCCAATGACAGACTGTCTCAGAAAGCATGGTTGATGGCTCCCAAGGAAGTACACGTGACGTTGACTTCCAGCCTTCATGTAGACATGTGCTAGCACCTACAGGAACATGCACCTATATACACCTGCATAACAGAGGAGAGTATCAGGTCCCTTCATACTTGTTCGCCGGTCCCCATGTGGTTGCTAGAAATTAAACCCAGAACCCCTGAAAGAGCTGCCAGTGCTCCTAACCACTGAACCATCTCAACAACCCTAGTTTTGTTTCTTTTTTCAACTTTAGCCTAAGGTACTTTGATTTCTCTCTTGGCAGAAGGACTCAGAATGAACCTGAGAGTACTGTGTGTCTGGAGAGTGATGGCTAACAGAAGCAGGGGAACACTTTTATTCCATGTCTAGTATGAACCCAGTCTTTACAGTATCCCTATAGCCATGAAGGGACTTGATTTAAATCTCTACTTCCTTAAATCTCTACATTTACAAATGGACCATACCCATGTGTGAATGTCTAAGGATGGTCTCTACAGTACCTCTCCTGTGGTGATTGATGATCAGTTTCCATGTAAAGTCATAACATTCTGGTAACACACAGTAGATTGCCCTTAGCACCAATTCCAGGAAATCTTTGACTTCCACTCTTACAAAATTCATGCATATTATACTCAATACAGAGTGTGGCTCCTGGAGCCACACATCCTTCATGGAACATCAGGACCCAAAAGTGTTTGAAGGCAGCATAGAAGAAACGCCTCAGAGAGAATCCAGCATATGTCCAAAGGTAGCCTTCTGGAAGCCTGTGCTTTAATGTGGAATCCAACATTTGAGACAAAAGTCCTAGCTTTACGTTCCTATGGGTAAGGTTATCTTGGAAGTGCTGCTGACAGCCATCTCAGTTGCAGGGCTTAATAAAAGTAAGGGAGAGTAAATCCATCCAGTGGCTGCATTGATTATTATTTTTGTTGTTGTTGCTGCTGTGATAAAATGCCATGACCAAAGCAGCTTATGAATTTAATTTGGTTTGCAGTTTCAAAGAGTCCTAATAGTGGGGAGAGGCATAAAAGCAGTTGGCAGGAGACCACATCTTTAACCAAACACAGAGAACAGAGAACGCACTGGAAATGGGGTGAGGTCAGAGACTCTCAGAGTCTCACTAGCACCAGTGAGGCACTTCACAGATGTTCTAGAGGTTAGTGTCCAAACACGCCACCAACGGGGACCACAGAACCGCGTCTCTGGGACATTCTTCATTCAAATGCCACAGTGGGGTTTTATGCAATCATTACTCATTCTGAGGACTATTCCAACATATACACACAAAAATAAACAGTGCAAAGGTTGTTGTTGTTTTTTTTTTTTAAAGATGTCATTGAATTAAAACTAGGAAATATAGGGTTCCTTTTCTCAGAACAGGAAAGAGTGTGGATGTTAAAGGTAAAGAAAATGTTATGTAACCTTAGCTGATCAATGCCTCGAATCTCTTTATGTCCCAATTTGCTTACCTACAATGTGTGGCAGTAGAATTTCATCCTATCATCTTACCCAGGGTCCTCCTTCTTGCTTAGCTTCTTCAGGTGTACAGCTTTTAGTATGTTTACGTTTTTATATGTCTAATACCCTGAATGGACCTGATAGGCTAGGGTCAGATGGAAAGTGAGAAGGACCTCTCCTATCAGAGGACTAGCGGAGAGGTATGGGAGTGGATAAGGGAGGGAGGTTAGGATTGGGAGGGGATGAGGGATGGGTCTATAGCTGGGATACAGAATGAATAAACTTTAATTAATAAAGAAACTAACTAAATATTATAAATAAGATTTAATCACAAGGATTAAATAAAGACCACTCTGGAAAAGTAACTGTTGTTATTGTTTCTCTCATTTGTTCTCACATTTGTATTATATTTTCAACTTGTTAGAGGATTTCCAGATCCTAACCGTTGCAAGTGTAACAGAAGTAAAATACCTAAAAAGGAAGAGAGGCGATTTAAGAAATTAAAGTTGATTCCATCTCTGACCTCAGAGGCACCTAAAATGAAAAGCTCAGACCGCGCCAGGTGCTGCTGGCTCTGTCCAGCAGGGGACGCTGCAGGCGGCGGAGACAGAGATGCGACCGGAAGTCAGGCTGGCAGCCACGGACACATTCGCCGACTCCTCCTCCTTCCGCTGGTGGTCCAGGAAGGCGCTCGGTTCGGGAGGTTCGCTCGTCTGCTGTTGCCATGCCGCTGGAAAATCTAGAGGAGGAGGGTCTGCCCAAGAACCCCGACCTGCGCATCGCGCAGCTGCGCTTTCTGCTTAGCCTGCCCGAGCACCGCGGGGATGCGGCGGTGCGCGAGGAGCTGATGGCGGCCGTCCGGGAAAACAGTGAGGCCCGCAAGCGCCGAGTCAGCGGCCTAGGCCGGGCGGTCCGGGTGCCTGACTGGGCGTCTCCCATGGGGGCTTTCTGGGGAACCTTAGGGGGTCCTCCTGGAGCCGAGAGGGGCTTGCCTCGGTGGGACCTTCCCCGCCGCGGGCTTGTCTGTCCCAGCAAAGGCTCCGCGGCTTTTGTGTTGACAGCATGCCTGTCAGTGTCTCGCTCCCTACCTAGGGAGATTTGGGTTCTCTAGCGGTACATGTCGAGTATGTGTCAGAGGACTCCTTTGGAACGGGAGCAAACGGGAGATCAGCTCTGCTAAGATTGGTTCTCAAGCAGGCCTCCCACCCTTAGAACCTTAGCGCTGTTTTCCAAGGCCCACGGTTGGTAGGCGCCTGCTGACTGACATCTGGGGGGCGGAGGGGAGGGCGGAGGGCTAACGAGCAGACCCCAACAAGCGGCCTCACGGTGCGTGATTTATGGCTTTTAGATATGGCCCCTTATTATGAAGCCTTGTGTAAATCCCTCGACTGGCAGATGGACATGGATCTCCTCAGTAAAATGAAGAAGGCAAATGAAGAAGAGTTGAAACGCTTGGATGATGAGTTAGAGGACGCAGAGAAGAATCTGGGAGAAAGTGAAATTCGAGATGCAATGATGGCAAAAGCAGAGTACCTCTGTCTGATAGGTGACAAGGTCAGTGGAGACACTCCTCTCTGGATAGGTGATAGGGTCACTGGAAACACTCCTCTCTGGATTGGCGACAGGGTCAGTGGAGATGCTCCCTCCTTTCAGGAGGTACAGACTGATGTTGGGGATTAGTGCAAATGGGTATTATCTCATTGAGTAAATGAATTAGTTTAAAGTAGAAAGATAATCGTGTTTACCTGTACTGAATCGGCAGTACAAAAGTAGTAAATGCATGATGACGTTTCAGTACCTCATTCCGTGCTTCACAGTAGCCAGGTGTGTGTTAGTCACCATTTCTGTGTTAATAATAAGTGCACATGGAGCTAGAGATGGCTCAGTGGTTCCAGAGTGCATGCTGCTGGTCATCTTGGAGAGGACCTGCCGTTGAGTTCTCAGTGCCCACATCAAGAGGCTCAAAATTCCAGCTCCAAGGTATCTGATGCCTCTAGCCTCCAAGGACACCTGGACTCATGTGCGTATACCCCAGACACACATACACATACTTGAAAATAATAAAATGAATCTTCAGAACAAAACAAGGGCACAACCAGAGGTTTTGCTCACTCTGTTTTACAACATTGGGGTCATTCTCAGTAGTTCACTTATTTGGTTGGAAAGCATTTGTTGTACTTTTTAAAAGGTTTATAGTAGGGAGCTGAAGTGATGGCTCAGGGGTTGCAAGCATTGGTTGAGTCCCAGCATCCGTATGAGAGCTTATAGCCTTCCTTAATTCGAGTTCTAGGGGATTCAACTCCCTCCTCCGACCTCCGCTGGCACCCACCGGGCAAGCACATGGTGCGCAGACATTCATAGACACGGACAAGCAGTACACTCAGTCATAAAATCAATCTGAAAAGATATACACTAGTAATATTTACCATTCAAATGAAGTTGTTTGGCATTTCTTTACCCTATTTCTTGAGAGAGAGCTGCCTCATTGTGTAGTTATGCATGTGTGTGTGCATGTCTTTTAGAAATGAGTAGTGAACACTTTTTTATGTGTTTGAGATCCCTTTGTGCTCCATGAGTCCTCATCTTCCTTTCATTTGAGAGAACTCTTTATTAACACTGTTCACTGCTGCCTAATCTACCGTCTGAGTAGGTTATCTGCTCAGCTCTTACAGGACACATATTGTTTCAGCTGCTTTGGCTTTAATCAGCTGGAAAAGCTGATTTTTAACATTGATGTGGTGAAAATGTGTTCATATGTCTCCATCTGTTATGCTAGTGTTTCTTTTTTCCTTTTTTTGTTTTTTTATTTTGAGGCAGGGTTTCTCTGTACAGCCCTAGCTGTCTTGGAACTAGCTCTGTAGACAAGGCTAGCTTCAAACTCTCAGATCCACCTGCCTCTGTCTCGTGAATGCTGGGATTTAAAGGCATGCCCATCACTAGTGTAAGTTAGTGTTTCTTCAGGATGCTGATTAGTCCATGAATGAACATGAAACGGAACATTTATTTTTCTATGTATGGCTAGTTATTCTACATAATTCTAATGTTGGATTCATTCTTCAGTATTTAGATGTAGGATGACATGGTTTTAATATTTAAAAATAGTGTGAGCTCTCCAGTCAGCTTGCTTGGGCTATACTTCTAGCCTGAGTAGTCAGACCTAATGCTGATTAAATATAGAGGCAAAGAGTTTAGAACCTGCTAGCCCAAAGAAAGGGCGTAAACAATTGAATTTTAATTTAAAACATTCTTTTTAATTTTACATTTATTACTTCGTCATTCTAAAAACTTGGAAATATAGAAAAAAAAAACAAAAAGTAGTACAATTTGATTTAAGAGTTTCATGTCACTGGTTATTAAAAATTTTTGAGTGATCCTGCTGATTTACAAGAACAGATAAAAATCACATGTTTACCCGTGTTATTTTTCAGAGCATGACTGGGATCACAGGTGTACGCCACCTCATCTGGCTCTCATTATCCTTTTAGTGTGATCTCATGGTTACCTTTGTTTTTGGTACAAGGTGGCATAAACTCACCTGCTATTTTAAGTTCACTCTGTAAACTTGCAGTCATCTGTTTATCCCCAAATCCTTGGTTCCTTAGTGAGGAATAGTATTGCATACCCAGGTCTGGGTACTAGGGACACACACTGCTGTTCAGACAGTCCCTTTTATACATTTATGAAGTGTGACTAATTGTGAAACAGACTTAGCCAGTCATGCTCCGAAAAACACCAAGTATAAACATGTGATTTTTATCTGTGTTCTTGTAAATCAGCAAGATCATGTCAAATTTTAATAATTAGTGACATGAGTGAGCTTATTTAGAAATAGTGTAGTTGCTATGGCAGAAACACATTATATATATGTTTTCAGAGTGAAATATACCCTGGGGCGATGTCCACTCTTTCTTTAGCTGAAGGAACCCCCTTGCTTCTCATCCCAAGTACAGCAATGACCCTTTCACCACTATCTTATTTTAGGTCTACTTTCTATTTCCCCAACAACTCTTTTAGGAAAATTTAGGAAGATGATGGCTTTGCTAAATTGTGTGCTTTTCTCCCCTTTGGTCTTGAATTTGACAGGAGGGAGCTCTGACTGCCTTTCGCAAGACATATGATAAGACTGTGGCCCTGGGTCACCGACTAGATATTGTATTCTATCTCTTAAGGATCGGCCTCTTTTATATGGATAATGACCTCATCACTCGGAACACAGAAAAGGCCAAAAGGTACATGTAGCTCTGGAGGTTAGGGGCTGCATTAGAAGTTGGTAAGCCCACGTTTCCCCATTTTGTTTGTTTGTTTGTTTGTTTTAAGAATTAGCATTCTGTGTTTCTTTTGTGTTATTTGCTAGCCTAATAGAAGAAGGCGGAGACTGGGACAGGCGAAACAGGCTGAAAGTGTACCAAGGTCTATATTGCGTGGCTATCCGTGACTTCAAACAGGCAGCAGAGCTCTTTCTCGATACAGTTTCTACATTTACGTCCTATGAGCTCATGGATTACAAGACGTTTGTGACTTATACTGTTTACGTCAGTATGATTGCCTTAGAAAGACCAGATCTCAGGGAAAAGGTAGGGTGAAACTTTTTCTTTTTTTTCTTATCAGTTACATTTTATTAACTCTGTATCCCAGCCGTGTCCCCCTCCCTCATGCCCTCCCAATCCCACCCTCCCTTCCTCATCTCCACCATGCCCCTTTCCAAGTCCACTGATGGGGGAGACCTCCTCCCCATTCATCTGATCCTGTTTTATCAGGTATCTTCAGGACTGGCTGCAAAGCCCTCCTCTGTGGCCTAACAGGGTGAAACTTTTAATACCCCTTTCAAGATTATTTCATGCTTTCCTAATTTAAAAACACAAAAATCATTAAAGTGTTTGGTTCTTTATTGTTAATTTGTTTTAATGCCCAGGTCATTAAAGGAGCAGAGATTCTTGAAGTGTTACACAGTCTTCCGGCAGTTCGGCAGTATCTGTTTTCTCTCTATGAATGTCGTTACTCAGTTTTCTTCCAGTCATTAGGTAAGGATTGTTTTTGTCTTCATCTTCTGACCCTGTGGGTAAATAAGCACAGCTGGATCTTCACATGTAAGAGATGCACTGGCTTGAGAACTTCAGGTCTTTATTTATTTTCTGCCTGTTTTGCTTAGAGGAAGCTCAGCAAACTTCATTTTTTTTTTTTTTTTAATATATAAACCCAAGTGGAAGAATGATGTGCCTGTGTTTGATGCATATATGTAGAAGAAGACTGTTTTTAGGGGTTGCTTCCCTTCTATCATGTGGGTCCTGGGGGATTGAACTGGGGGTCATTAGGCTTGGTGGTAGATGTCTTTACCTGAGCTATCTCATTGGCCTGATATGTTTTGTTTCGTTTTTAAAAGCGGCATTTAAACCAATAGAAAAAGAGTGTATGACAAAGAGCTATGTGTTAGCAAAGCCTAAAACTATTTGTTGTCTGCCCTTGAATGTGGGAGTTTGTCTGACCTGAGGTTTAGTCTTAAGGAATAAAGCAAATATGAGCAGATAGTTTAGTACTAGGTATAAGGTGAAGGATGTAGGGAATTCTGAGTTCGTTTTGACCAAGATTAACTAAATCGTCACTGCATTCAAGGACTTTTTTTTTTTTTTTAATGTAATAGTTAAGTCTGTGGATTGAAAACATAATCTGTGGGAAATGCTTGTGTTCCTTCACAACTTGTTTACAGAGCCCAGTGGATACCAATTTGCTCCTTTCAGGGAGTGGACTGTGCTCCCTCCTGGCCATTTGGTTTGCTGCTGGTGACTAAGTTACTAAGATGCTGGAAGGTATCCTTCTCTAATGATTCCCCCTCTTACTAAGGAGCCTAACACGCCCTGATGTGTATGCTCCTGGATATGCTACAGGTTCAAAGGTTATTTGCTTGAGGAGATCTCTGTGGAGAACAGGATGACAAGTGCTGCTGTTTCTGTAGGAAGTGTGTTCTCTTCCTTGTGAAATTAATAGCTTGGCTAGCTTCTGAGTGTTAGATATTCAGCTTTTCTCGCTCACCCCATTTTTACTATCAGTCTTTTATTCAAATAGCTCTGGGTGAAAGATTTTAGATTTAATAAATTGTACACTTCCCAAAGTACTTTAAATGCACATGACAATAGATTTCTTATTTTTTATTGGCTCTCAAGAGCCACATAAGGCTTGTTGGGTTTTGTGAGATTTATTCTCTAAGTATTCATAGACCAATGTGTTTAAAACACTTCCGCTGAAATGGGGAGTAGAATCCTCTGCCAGGTACTGTGTGTTTTTTTTTTTTTTTTCTCCTAGAAATTTAGTATAAACAAAAGTGAAAAGCATTGTTATCTCTCCCAAACCATACACCTTTATTTACATAATCCTTTCAGGTACTTAATTTAACAATTAGAAGTTAGATATATACTAGACAACTTTCTCACAGGGTCCTGTAATGCACTAACTTGGTGTTGTCAAATTTTTCTCTTCAGCCAATAGTCGTTACCAAGTTTCTGGATCTCATTCATAAAACACTGCATATTGTGGGCACCTTTCGTACACTGCTCTCCAGCTTGCTTTTCTCTTCATAGTGTGAAGAAGCTTTTCATGTTACTGATCAATAACATGGTCAGTGGGTGGTTGCAGCCAAGCGGTTATAAGGCTTGCATGGACTGAGTATATGGTGTTCAACATGTGAAATTCCTCACACCTTCCAGATGGTGAAGGGCTCCCCAAGTGCCCCATGTCCCTGAGGTTCTGGTCTACTAGTAGACAATCTGCATATTCCACGCAACCTGTAAACCCATTCTGTTTGTAGACAGCACTGCTGTCCCACTCACTTCTTAAGAAATTGAGTTTTGCATAAAAGTATACCTTGACCCCTAGAAACATTGTGCCAGTTTATGTGCATATTATTTATGCTTTTCATTTTACAGTACTTGAAAGCATCCATATCCACATTTTAGTAAAACTTTAGGCAGTTCGAGAAGAAAAAGGGAATTTTACTGGTCATATGTACTTTATTGTTAGTGTGAGTGTACACACCATCTTTCTTAGTAGCCTGCTCCCTTTCATCCTTTCTTACTGTTCACTGGACATCCTTCATCTTTCAGTACTTCTGATCTCTTTGACTTTCCCTTTGTTAGGCTTCTTGGTGACTGACTGCTTTTGGTTGTCCATGCCTTTTCTCTCTCATCTTTAAGGAAATATATCTGGATGGCTGTGCACCTCAGATTCCTAGTTCTAGTCCTAAACCTGTATCAAATCCTAGGCCCATGCCTGGCACTTCCTTGATATCTTTGCTAGTCTGATGAGCAGCTCCAACTTGAACCATGTCACAGTATGTTTGAACCTCCTTCTTCATCCTCATTATTTAAAAAAAAAAAAAAAAAAAAAAAAAAAAAAAAAAAAAAAAAAAAAAAATTAACTGCCAAACAGAATACCCCAAATTGTTGTTTTTCCTTGGATTTTTGACTTATACTAAATTCTCTTGTTCGCCTTGTTTCTACCCCCTTACATTTTGCAGTCTTTCTTTTTATTTCTGAACTTAGAAATTGAGTACTGAACTTGGGACTGTACTTACTAACAGTGCTAAAAATGCTCTTTGGTTAGCCAGTTTCTCAGTCCATTGGCCCAGGGAGGGCTTCCCAGTCAGGCTGCCACTGCCATTTTCTTTTCAGAACTTACTGATTTTGCATCATGGTTAACCACAGCAGAAGTATATCCTATTTAATAAGATAATTTACATTCCTGTGGATTGCTCATTAATATCCTGTACACGTTACTCAATTTTGTTACTAACTTACGTGTATTGATAAACAAACCTTGGAGTTTATAACTGTCCTCAAACTTTATATTTTTTATAATAGGTTTCATTACTCTTTATTGCTTGTTTTGTGACTTTATTGTAGCGGTCGTGGAACAGGAAATGAAGAAGGATTGGCTTTTTGCACCTCATTACCGATACTACGTAAGAGAAATGAGAATTCATGCGTACAGCCAGCTGCTGGAATCATATAGGTCATTAACCCTTGGCTATATGGCAGAAGCATTTGGTGTGGGTGTGGAATTCATTGACCAGTAAGTTTAACAAATTTATGCATCTAAACTGCCTGCTACATTTTCTGAATTTACACTGCTTCCCTCAGTTTTAAGTAAGAAAAATTCTTAAGTGTTACTTTAACAGTAGCATCTGTTCTTGTCTGCCTTCCTCGGGATACGGTTTTCAGTGAGATGAGAAAAGCAAGGCATGGAAAGTGCTTTACTTGAGTAATGGCACAGTTCCATCAGGGCTGCAGAGGACCACGTTGCACTGCTCAGAGTGCTGCCCAGATCACGTTCTATATTTTATAGTTGGTGGTATTTCCTCTGATAATGTTGGAGTTAAAATTTTCTTCAGGTTGGTGAGAAAATGTGGGACTGAATATTGAATTACTGACTGAACAAATGCTGAGCTGTTGATGATTGGTGCTGTGTGTCTTCATGTGCTTTCATTCAAGTTAACAATGCAGGAGTGTATAGAGCATAGTAGGAACTGTCTGCCTTAGATATGGCGTGCCTGAAGAGGTAAAGTTTGCTTTGGCATGAGAAATGTCAGCCATGTAAAAATCTCCATTTGCAGAAAAAGAAAAAACAGCTTAAAGATGGGCACACCTTAAATTCTGGCAGGAATTAAAAAGCTAAATTCCAACATGACTGTACTGTAGTTGAGGTATAGCAGTTGACTTGAGACCTTACAGTTTATAGTGTAGAGCTTGGATTTTGAATTTATGTGCTATGGGATATCACTGAAGGGTTTTCAACATGAGAGTAACATGGTTACATCATGTGTTTTAAATAGTGAGGGAACCTAGATAACATGTGGACTGTTCAGCAGCACACAGACAGTTTTACTGTGGTAAATGTTGATGATTTGTTCACAGTCCAGAATGGAAAATGATGGCTAAAATTAAGTTGCTTTTCATTTAACCTGATCATTTGCTTATGTGGCATGTATTTTTTCATTATAAAAAAAGATTCAAAGAAATTCTAAATTGTACAATGATGTTTTGTACACTTTCTGAACACATCACTTCCAGGCAAGTTTGAGACATCAACAGGTGTCCCTAAGATCTTTCTAGTACTTGTTTCGTGGATTGCTTTAGGGTAACATTTACCTTCACTGAAATGTATAGACCATAAATAACTCCAGCCCCTATTGAGGAAGTCATTCATTTTAGCTTTCCAAATGACCCTTTACAGCATAGAAGAGCAGTATCCCATGTTTTCCTTTAGTTTTACTTCTGAATTAATCTGCTCTGAAGCCCAGCTGTGATTGCCATTAAACGTTGTGTCAGGCAGGTTTCTCTTGTGCTGGCGGAATGAGTGGCTGGTGAAAGTTTCATGAGCCCAAGGACTAGACCTGCTTTCTTGTTTGACTTTGCAACTAAACTGTGGGTCAGTTCTGTAGCTAGGGCTGGCACAGACCTGCGGCAATCACCCTGCCGCAGCATACTGAAAACTGAGGTTACAGTTGCTGTTCCTTTAGTTTCTTGGAGCCTTCACTAGGACTAAGGGGCAGTGCAAAATGACCTGGGTGCTTACAGGTGATGAACTGAAGTGACTGTGGCTTTAAGAGCTGCTGTAGTGGTTTCTAAGTCATGTGGAGAAGTGGAGTCAAAGCAGGTTTTGTTTTTCATTTGTGTTCTGGGACAGCATAAGGAAATGAAGGGAGGACACTCGACAGGGTTGGAAAAGAAACAGGGTGCTTTTGCAGTACAGATGGTTGTTGCTTCGAGAGCTGGAGTTTGTTGATTCTAGAAGTTTATTCCTGCCTCAGGTTTTCCTCTGAGCACTTATTAACTATACTTGTGGTATTCTGATAACTTCTAGGGCCAAGGTCATTCTAGTAGATGACTTGGGAAAAATGGTATCTTACCTGGAAGATAGTGCTATTTTTTGAGTGTTTTCTGGAACTAACAGAGTATTGTTTCCTTTTTTCCAAATCAGGGAACTGTCCAGGTTCATTGCTGCTGGCAGACTACACTGCAAAATTGATAAAGTAAATGAAATAGTAGAAACCAACAGGTATTCTTATTAGCCATCATTTGTTATTGTTGAAAATGGGGAAGTTGGGGTGCTTCTATATTCAAATAGGTCAGCTCTTGTCATGGAGTCCTGTGGCTGCTAAATAATTCATTTCTTCCCTTTATTTATAGGCCTGATAGCAAGAACTGGCAGTACCAAGAAACCATCAAGAAAGGAGACTTGCTGCTAAACCGGGTTCAGAAATTATCTAGAGTAATTAACATGTAAAACCACTTAAGAAATGTTTTCCCTTACAGATGTTACTTGAAGCTTTCCTAACTTTCTTCACTGTGTGCCCACTTCAACAGCATCAAATAAATATGCCATTGTTCTATTTAATTTTTTTTCTTAAACATAGATATCATTAAGTACTGGGTCCAGTAATGCCACATGAATTATTAATGAAAACTGTTGTCTTTTGCCTATCTGTGTGGTCTATAATGTGAAGGTTCTAGTCAGACTTGGTCACTGGGATTCTGCTTATTAGTAAGTGAGGGAGGGGTCACAAGCCCATTATCTCTTGGTTTTAGAGCATAGGATTACTGGTACTGTAAACTACAACTCAACAGTTTAATATGAAAAGAAGATTAATAGTAAATTTTTCTCGCAGTCTTGTAAAACAACAACAAAAACCATGTTGCCCCTCTCTAGGAAGCTGGCATGAACTAGATTCTAGAATATGACTTAACACAGATCCTCAAAATCCTGTAGAAAAAGCAGCAAAATGAGTATTGATTTTGAAAGAAGCATGGTGATCATGAGGTAAACAAAATTGTGCCTTCTAAGCTAGGGAGTCAGTGCTATGAAGATACAAAAGCATATAAAAGGGATATGAGTTATGAACGGGGAACCATCTCCTATGAGCTACAGGAGTGCAGAGGTCATGCACATTTATGCCTAAGGTGTGGGACATTGGGGAGCATTGGGGAAACTGACTAAAAGATGACCCAGGTTGGACTTAAGTGTTTTGTTATGCTATTGTGTGTTCAGTTGAATGCTTACAAGGTAGAGGCAGCAAGATTTGTTAAAATATTAGTGAGACAGGGGAGGGAGTATGAGAAAGTAAGTCAAAGATCCCTTACATTAAATTAAGAGTTTTACCATAAAAGGCAAAGGAGGGAGTTTCTATTGTTTTAAGAACACATTTATTCATTGACCTATTGATATATATTAATGAAAACACATCTCTCCTGACTGAAAATTGGTAATAATTCATTTCGCTACGAAAAACTACAGTAATTGAATCACGGTGGGACAGAAAATCAGAGACCCAAAGTGTAAATAAAACACTCCATGCCAAAATATTAGAAGCATTATCTTAGAAGTCAGAGGACGTATGCAGAGTGGTCACTGGTACATAGGAAGGGTAATATGAATAACCAGACTTGGATTGGAAAGGAGTTTCTTGGGAGGTGCTGGGTGGTGGGTTGGAAGTGGCTACTTGTAGCTATTCTTAAAACACTTAAAAATACCAAGTTAAGGATTTCAAAAAGTGCATTTCTTTACCTGAGTACCTGATTACTTACTTCTTGGCCCTTTGTCTAAAATTAAGTTAAAAAATCTGTTCGGTAATCAAAGAACTCTCAGTCACTGAGTGCAGTCTCTTTAAGAACTTACTGTGTTCCTTAGCCCTAAATGGGTTGTCTGCATCAAATCCCTGCCACTTAAGGTTTAGGAAACTCATTGGGAGAGCTGGCAGAAAAGTGAAGGAACAAGAGGGGATGAAGACCACCAGGAGAGTGAGGGCCTCTAAATCAATATAAGCAAAGCTCCGGAAGCAACCCTGGCAGCAAGCACCTGGCCTGCATGGCTCTGTCATGTCCTCCCTGTATATGTGATGGTTTCCAGCTTAGTGTTTTTATGGGATTCTTGAGTGGGCAAACGAGTGGGTCTCATGTTTTCTGCCTTGGGCTCTATTCCTTTTGTTTTTGCGGTCTTAGATTTTATTGTCTCTTAGAAACCTGTTTTCTAATGAGCGAAAGGGAAGTGACTGGGGAGGGGAGGAGAAACTGGCAATAGTGAGGAGAACTTAATCAGGATATATACTGGGGTTGGGGTGGTGGCTGAAGAGATGGCTGAGCAGTTAAAAGCACTGGCTGCTCTTCCGGAGGACCCAGAATGAATCCCCTGCACCTGCATTGCAGCTGGCACCTGTCTGTAACTCCAACTCTACCTTTAGACACATGCAGGAAAAAAATACCAATGAACAAAAAAAGAAATAAAACTATATATGTAAAAAGAAAGAATTTGAGGAAAAATATTCAATTAAAGGAAAAATAACTTAGCAGGTTCATTTAAAATTAGAATTCTGAGGAGCTGGAGAGATGTCTCAGAGGTTAAGAACACTGGCTGCTCTTCCAGAGGTCCTGAGTTCAATTCCCAGCAACCACATGGTGGCTCAAGCCATCTATAATGAGATCCGGTGCTCTCTTCTGCCATGCAGGGATACATGCAGACCATTGTATACATAATAAAATAAATCTTAAAAAAATATTAGAATTCTGAGTACTGGATCAAAAAAGATTGAAATACCAGGCTTTTTTTAAAATCAGGTGTTTTTGTTTTCCCCCAACTTGCACTAGAAACCAACTTGGCCTGCTGGGATCACAACTATGGCTTTTGAGAGAAGAGAATGCCTTGCCCATGCTCTTTGCTAAAAATGTGCTCAGTGTTAACCTACCCACAAATAGCAGAACCCAACCTTGAGGAGAAGAAATCAGTGCTTTCCTTCTCTTCATGAAAAGTAATACTCATTACTACCTTAAAATTGTCCACTGCATAGAACAATGTAAGAAAGTTCTATGAAAATAACATTTTGTTTTTACCATCTGCAAATATAGTTTATAACACAGACCTGGAGGCCTGTATAATGAGTCTAAGACTAGTTACAAATTCCAAATGTCAGCTTAGAGCTGAAAATAAGACTAAAGTCTAACATTTCTCTTGGTTTTGTTTTTTTTTTTTTTTTTTTTTTTTTTAAGATTGTATGTATATATGTGTGAGTGTGTGTATGTCACAAGTATGTGGGTTGCCCTTAGGAGGCCAGTACTAGACTCCCCTGGAATTGGAGTTAACAAGAGGTTGACAGTTCTGGCAACCAAGCTGGGGTCCTCTGGAAGAGTAGGAAATGGGTTTTAAACTTGGCTGAGCCATCTCTGTAGACCCTGACATCTTCTTTGAAACATGGCCATAAGACATGAATGAAACAGTTCCCCTGCATTATCTTAATTAGACAAGGCCAATTCTAGGCCCAGCTCTCTGAATACTGGCCATATGACACCTAGAGAAATCACTAGGGAAAATCTTTGATTGTATTTCATCATCTGTAGAAAGTGAGCTGTAATCATGTTCCTCATGAGGTTCATTTTACACTAAGGTTTGTAGTGCACTTGGTAGAAACATGCTTCTGGGACGTGTCAGCAGAAGCCACTGTCATATACTGTATGGCTGAACTGAGTATTCCAGACCAATGACATGAAACTGACCAAGAGTTTTAGACTTAGAGCTTTAAATTTGCTACGAAGGTGAGACTACACAGACTGGTAATTTTCAATTTTCATATTGTCTCTTGGCCTTTAAATTTTAAAACTGATTCCGCTGAAGGGAATTTCTGAGTTCGTGGTCCGTGTCCCACAGAAAAATGAAAGCTGGGAAAGCAAGGGAGGCTTTCTGATGCCACAAAGTTGCATACTGGTCACCCACAAATTGCATGCGTCCCTTCAGATGTATTCTAAGGAAAAAAACCAACCAACCAACAAAAATCCCAAGGCCACTATCTAAACACTGAAACAATTTTTAAGCAGTCATACCTAATTTCTCTAGCAAATGTGAGTGGATTACATTAAGTGCTCACTGTCAAGCTAAGTTGTATTCTTCATGCCCAGATTCTAGATACAGCATACTGCCTGACCCATTCTGGCAGATGAATCTGACATCCTTGTATTGCACCTGTGAAGATGTGCTGTCAGCAGCCTGTACCAGGAACATTTAGCCAAGTAATTCTTAACACTCATCTATGGTAGCTTTAATTGATAGAACTTGTTTTTTCTAACTTAGTTAAAGGCCCTTCACAAAATGGAAAAGGAGGAAAAATAAGCAGAACGCCAACTGTCACAAAGTTGAAAAGATGAATGTTAAATATATGGCATATTAAAGTACGATCTTAAAAGCAAAATAAGCCAGATATAGCAATGCTGCCTATTTTTCACAGGTACATTCAGCCATTTCCAACAGACAACTCTGTTTCTACTTTACAGTTCCTTCCAGACAGCAGCCACCTGAGTATTATTCTGAGTTTCTTGCAGCAACTTCAGTCTGCTCTGCACTTCCTTCTCTGTAGCAGGTTACACATTTCACCTAAAGCTCATCAGTTCGTAGGCTTGGCCAAGCTAGAAATTGGATGAACAGAACTAAATAAACCTCAAGGTCTTTGAAAGATTTCTACAATTATTTTTCCTCCTGCCCTTGGCAGGTTTAGAGACCCAGCAGCGGCCTTGCAAGTTACTTTTGGTCCAAATTCCCATCTATTCTCTCTTCAGAAGTTATTGGAGGGGACTATAAGTGATGAATATTTTTAAGAGAAATTATTAATAGTGTTTAAGTCTCCTCCTTCTGGAAAAATTCTACTTTGACTGATGGGGAATCTTGAGATTAAGTTTCCACTTTGATCTAGGAGCTTTAGCTGTATTAAATGATGGTAACAAGGACCAATAACTAGCTTTATAAGATCAATGTCTAACTTAGTGAACTGCTTGAAGCAACAAGAACGAACATCGAGAAGTTCTTATAGATACTGGAAGAAGAGAAGGTGGTCTAAGAGACTGCTTTTGAAAATTTGTTGCATTTAGTGTGTGTGTGTGTGTAAGAACATGCATGCATACATGCTGTGGTGCATGTGTGGTTAGTTGACAATTTGGAGGACTAAATCTACAATGTATATTATGGGGATCAAACTCAGGTCCTCAGGTGTGGCAATTAAGTGCCTGTCCCCACTGGGCCACCTTGCTGTCCCAGGGACAGCCTTTTGATTGGGAATTGGAAAGAGTAAAGACATGTTTGAAGTAAGAGTCTGACAACACAGGAAATAGGAGAGTCCAGCATGCCTTTGACTTCCAGGCTGCTGCAACAACCTAAGTGGCCAGATGCACAGACCCAGGAAGTATCTCTGGGCCTTAATGGTGACCTCTAAGTCAGTATGAGCTTGTTCGTGAGACTAAAGGCTCATGGCATCTCCATTGGTGCCTCCTGTGCAGCAAGTTTCATGAACAATCTCCCATATTCCTCACATCTGTACCCTGTTTGTACCTTCTTCACAGAATGCATTTCTGTAGGGAAATCCAAAAACTGTTAACTGTCCCTTGAGATGCTTTGTGACCATCCAGGGTCAGATGACCTGCAAAGAAAGGATTGGGTAGTTGAGCTTTTTCTTCGACGGCTTTTCCTTTGAAAAGGAATTTATCCATGGGGAAATCTGTCACTGGATCACCTTACTAACTTAGCAGAGAAGGAACTAGAAAGTTCATGAGGCACTGAGGGGTTGGTCTAGCTTGGCTAACTCATGGACAAATGAGCTGCTTCCAATTTAAGCAACAATAACAACAACAAAAAATTTAGAATGGGGGCTGGAGAGATGTCTCAGAGGTTAGAGCACTGCTTGCTCTTCCAGAGGTCATGAATTCAATTCCCAGCAACCACAGGGTGGCTCACAACCATCTATAATGAAATCTAGTGCCCTCTTCTGGGGTTCAGATGTACATGCAGGCAGAACACTGTATACATAATAAAATAAATAAATCTTAAAAAAAATTTAGAATTACTTTTTATAGATACAATTATGTTGTACTCTGAATACAACTAAAATGCATATGTATGGCTAGTAAGGGGAAGGGAATAAAAAAAAAAAAAACAACTGGGAGCTCCAGATTTAAAACTTCTTTAACAGGTAAAAATCTACAAACTTAACTATATATATATATATATATATATATATATATATATATATA